GAAAGGGTAGACTGCGGTACCCGATCTGGTAATACAGAAGTGACTCGAATCAGTTGGTTATTAAATCCCGTTGAAACTGATCAATGAAGAATGGACCATCGTCCCGGGACGTGGAAGAGCCAGGACAGTCTCTGTACCGTACCGATACCCAGAATAGAATCGAGTTGTACGTTGAGTTGTCCGTGTAGTCGAGATGTTTGTATCCCGATACGGCTATCATCAATTCCTCAAAAATTATATGCGGTAACTTACCTGTAGTCGTATTGGGATGCGGGCAACTCGACTACGTGGACAACCCATGGTACCGGTAACGGTACCGGGACTGTCATAGCTTTTCCAGGTCCTGTAAAAATCAGTCATTCTTCGTGATTCAGTTTCAACGTGAATTGAAATGCTAACTGATCCTAGTCACTTCTGTATTACCAAATCAGGTACCGCATTCTATCTTTCCCCATGAAAAAACTCGCCGATTTCTAAGCATATGAAAAATGATTATTGAATTAATTTATTCATATATATTTAAATTTCCGGAACACGGCTAAAATTTAACAAATAGAATTAAAAATGTGAAACTGAGGTATTGTTTGCAACAATGCCTGAAGATTTGTCTGAGTGACAAAAGGGCGGATGCGAAAGGACCCATTGTTGCGTCAGTTTTTGCATCTTGCTGATAGGCCAAAGTTACGGAGTGAATAAAGGAGTCGATGCTCGGGGAAACATCCAGTGGTGGGATTCAACCGGTTCGCACCGGTTTTATATAGATAATATAATTTTATGAGATTAGCGAACCGGTAAGCTTTACTGGTTACTCTCAATGTTCTGTTTGTAACAGAACCGGCTGAAAAATATGACTTTTGTGATGGAACCGGCTGAAAAAAAAATTTTGAATCCCACCACTGTAAACATCCATGGCGTCCCAATTATTTTTAGTGGTTTAGCAAAAAATGCATTACATTATAACTGTAAACTAATCAAAAAAAAAATGATTTCAAAAGCAAGAAGCAGCTGCGTTACAAATTTCATACTCGAAAGGTCCGGATTCGAACCGCGGTCCGCCAGTTGAGTAGCCCTGCCATAGAGCTCACCGAAATATTTGAAATAAATAGAAGTAATAATCTTGTAGGGAAATATACAATCGTTAACAATAAAATTCCAAAATGTTTGTCCTAGTATTTGAAGAGAGAAATCGATTTTTTCAATTGTAAAATAACTGACAAAAACAACAACAACATAATAGCAAAATGATCCATAGGTCCACTCCATGTCCAATAAAGAATAAGACAGCTGTGCTCAAATATGTGGACACGAAGGAAAAACTAAACATTTTATCATCAATTTTGCAAAAAATATATGAGATTACTTATTGGGAGGTGGACAACACGATCAACTCAACTATACAGGGTGACGGTAACGATACAGGGTACAAGCACTGGCAGGCTCTGTGATAATGATTCATTCTTCATGATTCAGTTTCGTGAGCCGAGTCACTTCTGGATTACCAGATCAGCACGAGATCCTTTATCTGCGTTCGCGGAACCGCCACAAGGTGCGCAAATTTTGATGACGTCATAGCACGAAACGAATCCCATTAAGCTCACATAAATATTTATATTAAATAAAAAATTATTGAAAAAAATCTTTAATCACCGAAAATTTCAAATCAATTGGTCCAGTAATTAAAAGAGAAAAGCGATTTTTTTTCAAAACGGTAAAATTCTATAATAAAGAACAAGAACAACATAATAACAAAAGCAATCCATAGGTTCACTGCTTGTCCAATAACGAAAAGTGAAGTATGGCATACTGGCTAATAAATAAACTCGCTGAAACACAATATATATATATGTAATTTCATCAAATACTTTACATTATAATGATAATAGAGAGCTAATCGAGACTTTTTATTCACTTTTTATCTTATAATTTAATTGGCTTGGATAAACATTAAAAAATTGCTCCGTCCTAAGAAACTCGTTCTTACCGGTCAATTCCAACCGTTCATCCATTTAAAGAATTTATGATTTAGTTAATTTATTGTATTTATGTCGAGAGCATTTTTGAAACCTTATTTATAGTTTTTATACGTATAAATCATTATTCATGATCGTTCTTACCATTTTTTTTAAATTCAATTCAATTGTGACTTTTCGAAAACTGTTGTAAAGGGGAAATCTTGATTTTTATAATACAAACCTGCAGTCAATACCAGAACTATTTATTAAAATGCGTAGCATAATTGTGTAGCAGGCTATATAGTCACTTCCAGATCTTGGAATTAAAGCAATTAAGTAAGGATTGTGTTGACGTTCCACCTGCATCGATAACTACTACGTTTTCAATGTATGAAAAATCTCAGTTTTATTCTGATATTTTAAACAAATATCCTTTATGAATCTATTATTAGAGTTTATTAATGTTAATTAATAGTAGTAGACATAGGGATCGTTTTGTTATTATGTTGTTGTAATTGTTGTTAGTATTTGTCTTGTTGTTACCAAATGACCAATTGCTTTGCAATTTTCAGTGGTTAAAGATTGTATTTTTTGCTAGAACGCTATTACTTTTATTTTTTTTTGTATTGAAACTTATTGTGGGCTCCATGTGATTCATTTTTCACCGCAAAATTTTGTGTGATGACCTTGTTGAAGTCAATGAATATTATATGTAGCGGTTTTTCGACCTCTTTCGTGCTATGCGGAAGTCGAAAGTTTTTTGAAGGTACCGGTACTGTAAAAGGTAAGATGAACACTACTGCTTCGCTTTGAACTTCTTGTCAATATATTTGAGTATCGTCGTATTGCATTACATAATAAGGTAAGGTACTGAGTAAGGATTTTGTCAGATTGAGTCTCTCGAATAAATTTGCAAAATTGCAAAAAATACCAAATTTACTGTAGGTTGTACAGATCATAAACTTTTGCTTTGTTCATCATCATTCTATTTGCAATGTACAGATAAAAATTTAAGAAGGTCCAAACTGTTTGAATCTTTCATTTTCCATGTCAGTATTCTTGTTTATTTTCAAATATTCGAACCGGTTTCAACATACGCAGAAAACTATTAACATTTCTCCATGCACTTAAATTTACCTTATCTGTTTACCGAACAATGCAAAATATTTGTAGGGTGTTACAATTCGAATTATAGTATATATCTTTACCAAAGGTTTTGATTATAATCTTATCGTAACTGTATAATGCTCATGAATTTTAAAAATTGTGGTTTTAGTTAAATGAATAAAGATATTGATATGCATTTTTGCATTGGCGTTGTAAATGTGAAGTTTAACATTCTTGAGCTGAGTATGAATATTTGCATTGCTTTCAAAAACATTTCATTTTATTTTAAAGTATGTATTTAGGTTCATCACTACAATAAATTTTGTAATAAAAAAGTAAAAAACAACGGGCTATTCAAAATATAGCTACAGTGGACGCGAACGTGAAATTTCTACGTTAGCTACAATATTATAATGTTTATTTAGTTGGGAGAGAAATATATTGTTAGTTTTATTCAATGTTTTTAGAAGTCTAAGGCATCTACAGTATAACATACATACTATCTCTAAAGCAATGATTAATTTCGTATCAAAATAGCATCACAAATAGTTTTTTTTAGTCGTGTACACATATGTTTCATACTTAAAAAACCATCCGATTTTTATTCAAATATGTAGCGCTGACGAAGTTCCATCAAACAATTACAATAGATTTCACGCTTCCAAACTTTTTATTATGTATCATATAAAATGGACTCACCCATTTTAAAATTTTCTCTTTCTATTTGATCTTATCGTTATACTTGTTCTGCATACCAAATAACACGTGTACATGCAATATTTCACAAGCGCTATCGACTTCAGTATACACATATAACAAATGTAATGTCAATTGCAACCCTTCTCGTAATTCATTTTTGTGCATCATTTGATGGTGAAGAAGTTTGCAAAATATAGTTCGATCAAACCTTTTGCATTTCACTTGAATAGTCAGCTGTGGACGCTGGGATATAATAAATGAAAAGCTCATGGTAACCCAGATTATGACTCTACAAATCGCTCTGTCGAAGTTATCTATCTATAAGTAAGACAGTCAGAAAACGACCGGTTTTCAGTGAATTGTTCAACAATAGAGCAAAATTTTGTTGCAAAATAGTTAATAATGTCTTACTTCAAATGCAGCAAAATTGCATATAAAAAATGGGAGGTTCACAAGACGTAAGATTGATTACAATTCTGTTGCTATAATGATATCGTACCTTAGTTAATTCAATTAATTAATATCGCCACCAGTGTAAAAACATGTTGTGAGCTACTGCGGCGGAGCTCAAACTAAAAACATTTGGCCAGTCAACCAATTGAGGTATGAGGCTTGGGACTGAGATCATTAATAGGTAATTTTATCATTTCTGAAGCTTATCGTTCTGTTCGACGAAAATTTAGGTTCAAATATTCGACTCTAATCAGACATGTTATAGATCCGTAATTCTTGAAGTTAACCCAAATAAAATTCATTTATTTGCAGATTATTTTTGATTAGGAATCATCAACTTTTTTTTTTATCAAGAACGAAAGAAAGTTTAATTTATAATTATAATATTCGAAAATCAATACGTACTTCAGAGTGACTTTTTGAATTGTTTTATTTTAATCTTCCAATATGTTTTTATGTTGTGTATTGGCCTTTACATTCCAAACACGAATATAATCAAGCAATCATAGTAGCAGTTTCTGGTATAATATTTAAAAAGAAGTAAATATTTGAAGTAAGACTATGGCAAAAACATGCTACCAAATATGTTCCCATTTCTATATGTTTTTCGACTTGTCTAGCGTCTCAGCATCAAATTAAGATCAATAACAAGTAAGACTTCTTAAAAAAACAATACGAGCAATATTTATTCATTCTGTCAAATATACTTGTAATGTTGTATATGGTTTGTTGTAATATATTGAAAATCAAAGTATGTTGCAAACTGACAAACTTTTTTCTAATATACAGATTACAGATATTTGAGCTAAGACAAGAGATTTTTGGAAAACAATGTGGAGATGAGAGAGATATGCAGAGTAACCGCTAGTGAATAAAAGCCAAATTAATGCTGAATATTATTGGAAATGAAATGAATTATTGTTGGATATTATTTTTGAATGGGGAATAATAGTATCAAAAACATTTTTCGACGAAGATATAAAAAAGGGATTCACCTCGTATTCTAATCTGAAGTTAGGGATCGAACTAGGGAACCTCGAAGATCGAATCAAGAAAATAAATTATTTTTATTAAAATTCTAAGCAAATCTTTTGTAAAAATAATTGTCTTGCGTCTCCACCCTACGGTTGATACAAAATCATAATACGAGTAATTAGGGCAGAATATTTTTGTTCAAAAATCACCTATCACTATCTGAGATTGCCTGAAATATTTTACTCGGGACGTCGACACAGTGTATTCCACAATCTTACCACTAATCTTAAAATGCTTGAAAAATGTTATGGTCATTATCGGATCGGATTATCATGTATCGGACAGATGCTCTGATCGTTGTAAAGCCCGATGGACTAGTTTCAGTTATAACACTCGGAAAAACATATTAAATATTTATTCTTACGTGAAATGCATTTTGCAATCACTGGAGTCGTTAATATTTAATTTTTTTAAATGTTGCGAAATTATATAAATATGTACTTGGAAGTATTGAGTTACTGAGGTAATCCCTGTGCACCTTTACTCAAGAACAACATAGACTACTAGACAACAACAAATACAGCATTCGCGATCAAGTGCCTCGTTTCGTTTATCGACAATTTTTCAAACTCGGCCAAGCAAGTTCCTTTATTAGTTTATGACATAACACACTCCAAATAAAACAATAATTAACTAAAACGAATTATTAGGTCCTCATCAAGCACAATAATTCGGATAGAAATTTCGTGGGTGATTGAGGCAACGAAGGATCCATATTCCATAATAGGTTTTTGAATTGCGAAAGGGGCATTGTAATGTTTTATCCACAGCTTGTCGAATTAGTAATTTTAAAGAAGGGTAAAATACTCAGCTAAGTGAGTTGCTTTATATTTGGATTAAATGTGTATTTAGAAAATACTGCTATAGGAAGTGTATTTTTGAATCGTTTACCTTTAATCGTTCAACGTTATGTTTTTTGGCGTGTATTAACATTTACAGTTTAAACAAGAATTTAGTTTAGCAGTCATAGATAGCAGCAGTGCGTGGGTTCAACATAGATCCTTGAATGACAAATAAACGCGGGTGACGAACATTACTATAAACTCAGGCATCGGCCATTTTTATTTGCTACGATGTACTTATGTGACTGTCTTTTCAATTTTATTTGAAAGAATCATAGTTTCTTCTTTATTTCGGATGGTTATAACGTTGACTTGGTCGACAACAAATTTCAAATTTAAGAGGTCTTAGAGCTAGTGCTCCAAATTGTTATGAAAATGGCAATGCCATCATTTACCGGTGAGATTTTGCTTTTATCGACTCTGAATCTCATTCCTCCATGCACCCAAATTATTTTCTCATGTAGCCTTATTCAAAAATGTCTGGAATCTAGCATTCTTAAAAGTTGTCGATTTGTAATGAGAATTGGGATTTGAATAGATAAATTGTTCTATAATAAATATAGGCTTCAGGTTATGTACGAATTGATGAATACAAAGATAGATAAAACAATAAGTATTACCGAAGTTCACTCTAATCTTTTGTCGACAGAAATGCCATTATAAGTCAAATTAAATTCCAATACAATCGTGTTGGATAGAGAAGTTTTGTATACGTGTAAAAAGCAATCCGGCCGTCTGATCAAGTCAATCTGTAGAAGTATGGGTAAAAACATAATTTGATGTAGATGTTTTATAAAACAAATTAGCTGTGAAGCCGGGTTGCTTATTCTATGCCTATTCTTATATCTTGTTTCAGTATAATATGGTAAGCGGCAAATCAGTCAATTTTCACATATACTGACACGTTAGATTAATAAGTTCGCTGGGAAAGATATCTGATTCCTGATCGATTCTAAGTCAATGTGAAGATGAATAAGATATGCACAGTGTACGAAACTTTCGGAACGTGCAAATATGGATCTGAATGCAGAAACTATCATTCACCAATGCGTATCAACACAGAAATTTTTGCTGCCATTATAGAGCGAGTTATTGATGAGAAATCGGTTATTATTATAAGAAGAAATAGCGATAAAAATCCAGAAACATATTTCCTTCCAAATACTGTTTGGCATCGATTGGGTGCGGGAAACGGAGATTTGGTGATATTCCAAAAATCAAATAAAGTCAGGCAAATAAACAATGCAGAAGATAATTGGAGACAACAATCAAAACAAATATATCAATATAATTTTGGCAGGATAGTTACAATATTGCTAAAATATACCGATCAAAAAATTGACGGAAGACAGATTAACGTTGCTCCAAATCTGGTGCAAGCGTTTTCTTTGGACGGCAAAGGGGCCAGGCGTCACGATGATGCTTTCAGTATTGAACAATGCCAAAAAATTGAAAAAACTGATTGTAATAAAATAGGAATACATATTATTGCTGCATCCACAAACTCAAATCATTTACATACAGTTGGATCTTCAAACGGTTTTTCAAGAAGAAATAATTCATTGGCTCTGTCATTTTATTTTCATACCAATTGTTCTCTTAATGCAAGCGCACCAACATTTACTCTAGTACATATTTTGGAGGAATATTCATTAATAGTACCCCCGAGAGAGCATGAATTTCTTTGGAGATATTTTATGGACACTAAATCTCTTCGGAGAAACCCGCTATATTAGGAAATGTTGAAGATTGGAAGGCAAATATACTTGTAGGTGAAGTTATGCATCGCTACAACCAATGTGCAAAAGAATATGTTGTTGGCAACGTAATCACAAAACGTACATCTATTACAAAAGAAAAATTGAAAAATTATGATAACAGTCTTATTGTTCCACAAGATATATACAATGAATCACAAAGCGTTATTTTAAAGAAAAAAATTTGCGTAGAGGAACTTGTGCCTTTCTTGGCTACTTCAGATTTCTTTCTTTCTAAAGGGCCATCGCAGTCAACAAGAATGATCGTTAAATATCACCGAGATGTAAAATTAGCATCAAACTTGTGCGATGAGGATATTGTACATTTCACCTCACCTCTGAGTAAATATGAAAGCAAATTTAACCAACAAATATTAATTAATTCTATTCTCTCGCCAAGCTCAACACTGTACTCACGAGATGATTTGTGTGGTCTACTTTGTATACGTTACAAAACTCCACACTTGGCTGAGGCGATGATATCAAATGTAAGTGAAATTGAGTTTTCAGTGTCATATATGTTTAATAACGTGAAACATAATATGAGAAAGTCGATACCAACAAGAAAAATGCGTTACGGTGAACTTCACTACAACGTGGAAGTGAACAATGAAAATGGAAAGACCATTGTACTTTTCAAGAATGTTTACTGCGATCCTGATAATTACTTTAATCAGAAATACGTAAATTTGAATCGTGACAACATTGATGAAATATTAGAGGATTGGGGGGATGAAAATTTTCCAGAGAAAATCAAACTATTTTTCGGACGTCAGAGATCTCAACCAGAATCAATTTTATATCCATACAAGATGATTGGTTTCGATACATTGTTTACTGTAGCAACTAACTTCAGACTGAAACTACAAGTGTCACAATATGACGTTGGAAGGAACGACGAGCTCAGCTTAAGATTACTCAGCATCGGGGAAAATTGTCATTTGTGCTTGACCCACATTAAAAATCCCGACTTGGCATTCATGTCGAATAGAACAGACATTAATGCTCTTGGAATCATGGAAAACATCGAATTCTTGGAGAGAGCACTCACAAACGAACAAAAACCTTTGATTTTACGTCTTGAAAATGTTCAAGTGAACTGGGATTCAAAATTTTATTCGGGAGGATCCTTCATATGTTCGAAGCCGGTCGACGTAGGCGATTTACTTTGCATTCGTCAAGATATTTCAGAGTGTGGTACTATACAATACGTTTGGGTAGCTCATGCAGTGGTGAAAGAGTTCGCAGATGACAAAGTTTTGTTCTCTGTTTGCACGTTATCACAGGATGATAAGTCTTGCCAGAGCCAAACTTTTTCTGTGGAAGTTATACAGATTCCACAGTGCCATCAACCTGAAAACGAAAATGAACAGCTCTAAGTTATTGTATTGTAGATTCCATATTTAGCGTCGTTGGATACCAGCATATATGCATTAGTTTTCCGCTTTTACAATCGTAAACAATATGTATCTATTATTTTTGTGGTATACCATGTGAAACTTATTGCACAATGACCTTATGCTTCATTTTTTAAAAGCTTGGTGACAGAATTGTTAGCAAAAATGTTAATTGTATGCTATATAATTATATGCCATACCGCTATGCATTCATATTCATAATTACAATATTTATAAGGGGATTGGTTATTTTAAAACACGTATCACTTGAACGTCTAGGACTCTAGGAAGTAATGTATTACACATTCTGACACTGGTTCTGTTGTTTCCTGGCCCATCCTTGATTTTGTGATATTTATCTGGAAATTACATCATCGCGATTATAAGGTGTATATAATACAACTAAGGTCATATAACCAAAAGGTATATTTTGTTTTATGCCATCATGGTTTTGTCTCCTACTGATAATAACATCAAAATTACGTTGAGAGTGATTTCACTTGACGACAAATGTTAACTGATTAATTATTCCATGTCCATCAAATAGAAAAAGAAAGACGAATCCCACAGAGCCCATGGGAAATTTCAAATAATAAAAGTAATAGCCTTCTATAGACAACAACAACCATTGTTAACCAATGTATCAGAAGATAATAAGAAACGCTATTATTTTTACAAATAGAAGAATAGAAAAGAATGACCAAAGAAATAATGACAAAACGATTCATAGCTCCACTTAGTGTACCATTTGTACTGTAGCCTACTCGTTAAATCTGAATGAATTTGAAATCGTAAATGTCAATTTTAGGTTTCAATGCGTGTAACATTTACGCATTGTGTGTGTTCTTTCAGTCTC